TCTATCTATCTATCTATCTATCTATCTATCTATCTATCTATTATTCTATCTATCCATCCAACTACCTATCTACATATCTATCTATCTACCTGGTTGTCTGTCTATCTATCTATCTATATATCTATCCATCCATTAATCTATATATTTATCTATATATATAGGTTTTTAATTTTATTTTAGCTTAATTGAGTCTATATACGAGATAAAATAGAGCCGGATATTTTTCGTTCCTAAGTTTTAACGTGAGACTTTTACATGAATGAGACCCAGCTATGATGATTTCGTTCGAAAGATAGACGAAATATCAGCCCGTTTTCGCCTGAACCGATGGAAGATGTCTCGTGGACTGCTTCAACCTGTACGTCGTAGTTAAGCCAAATGACTGCAGAACAACACGATTCTGCCGTTCTCTTCCGGTGCGATCAGTCTACGAATCTCTTCTTCATGCCATTTCATACGAAATGAAGTTCTCCTCAACAATGCTAATACACAGCCTCAAAGTGGACTACGTCTTCAGTGTTTGCGATTCCATAACTTTTGTCCCCAAACCAAGAAGTCTGTGAAGTGCCAAACCCACTTTCGACGATTCATGCCTTCTGATCCATCCTGAGGCGGAGAGGAAAGGCAACCGACTTGATAATTTGATGTCAAAGTTGTCAGAGGTCAGAAGGTGTATTAGCCCTATTTGTTGAAGTGTAACTGAAGTCTGTATGTTATTTGGGAGCAAAAGTGGACAAGAAAGAGGATAGAGGCGAGAGGAGGCTGGAACAGGACTGGAATGGTGAAGCATTCGTGGGAGTCATGTCAATTAATTCGACGTTGGAAGGATCCAACGCCGTTTGTTGAGCAGACTTAAATGAACTGGAAGACTTTGCTCGGCTGACCGCAGTCATTTTGGCCTGGATCATCGCAGATGCTCACGAGGCGTCGTGGAGACGAGGGTTAATCGGGCCTAGGTCCTAACATGGTGTAATACTGGTCTCTGATTGGCTAGAGCAATCCCTGGGATCGGTACGTTGGTGAGATTTGATTGGCCGGCACGAGAGAGTACGTCAATCTTGGGCAATATCTGCATATCTAATTATACTACTATTACTAATATTACTTCCATTTTGATTTATTGTGTTTGGTGAAGAGATTTGAAGGTGGGTTCCACCAGAAGACGACTTCCAGCGGATTCCTCCTGACCAGTTGTCGATTGGCTATATTGGAACATTCATGTTGACGCCGTTTCCGAGGCGATCGCCTTCAATTTCAATGAAAACATGCTAAACTATCGTCTCTCACATGATGGACATCATCATAAATAATATCTTTACCTTTGAAGCAATAATTTAGTAGGACCAGTTGGGAAATTTAATGAATGAAATTGAATGGAAATATGAAGAAATGAAGAGCAGTTGCAAAACCTTTCGTCACTGGAACCAAAACGACCTCGATTAACGAAATATGACGTGATCGAAATGTCAAGAGTCAAGCAGAGGCACACGTTCCATTGCATAAACCTGTGTGCGTTTGTTTTTGTGTGTGTGTGATTTGCTATTTTTGCACTTGCGTTTGTTTGTGTAGTTACAAAAGTGTTTAGTTTTCTCCTCAATGTGGTTATTTTTACAGTCTGCTTTTCTTTGAAACATCTTCTGCATGCTTGACTGATTGTCTGTGAATGGTAAATTCGGCCGTTTTTCGGTGGACAGACTGAACCATCATCGGTGCAAAGGTTGCTGTAGTCATGCTCATCTTCATTTTCTCCGGGTTACTTGTTATGTGGAATTATTTTAGCTGGTAGGTATTTCAAGGAGGAACGAAGCCCAACCTCTATGTCCGCCTAAATTGGCGAATGCCACTCGAAAAGAAGGTTGTTTTTACATTTTTTTAAATTCCTTACTAATATGCCTGGGTTGCTAAGGCTAGCTTAACGACTGATTCTGGAGGTTTTCTAATCGAGATGCAGGCCTCACGACGCAAGTAAAGTTCACTTC